GCGCGCGGGGAGAAGTGCGTCGCGTTCCAAGACGTCTGTCATGTGATAATGCGAAGAAAATGGGGTACGATCTGGAAATGTCTTCTCGGAAAGTTGGGAACTTCTGACCATTCGGACACTCGCACAGAAAACTGGAAGTCCCCGGAGGGAAGGGGAAACTAATGAATACAATGGGAGGTTTTTAGGCGCGAGGTGGGACGTTTTATCATTTTTATACATTAGTGTGCACGAGGTGAGGGTAAACAATGCCGGGGGAGCGAGGGGAGGCTCAGACAGGGCCTGAATGGGCGAGGGGAGAGAGAGAGATGACACGGGCTGGACGCTCGCCCAACCAACCTGCTGGGTCATGGTGGCCGAACGCTGCCACGTAATAAGGGAAGATAAGAAAAATGTATTGACCTACACTGATATACTTCCAGCGTTAAAACCCCCAGAAGAACCTTCTTAATTCCTCGTTCTAGGCGGTGGCCAGACGGACATTTTCCCCCGGAAAGGATTGCAAAGCTTATTATGAGATCGACAGCACCATCTGCTGCCGCCATATGCCCTGGCCATCGCGCTCGCCAACCACTCTCCATTAATCTCATTTAATGGCTGACCCAAAGCATCAATGATCTGTTTTTATTGATCATGGACCATGGTCACTTCCAAGTGTTTAATCACTCCATTAACAAATCCATTAAGACGAGCCCCTTTACTCAATAGTGAAGTGTTTGAACTAGTGACGAAGCGAAGCAGGGAGGAGACCGTGGGGCGAAAATTAAGAAATGGTTTGGTTCATCTGGTAAAAGATAATATTTGGAGAACAGTAAAGGGATGATTAATGTTTAAATAAATGAAACGCAGCCACAATGAAAAAGGAAATGCTTTATTATTCCTGCCTTATTGTAGTTGCTTTTCATTACATATTCATACACATTGTATTTGTTCATCGGCAGTATTGTATTATAAGTATATGTAAAAACATTACGGAAATCGAACATAATACAATCGGGTACTTTTAAAAGATGTAAGAAATGGAGCAATAGGAAATGGAAATGAAAGTTAAGTAATGGTATTAGTGGGCAAGGTCGTTTTGTAAAACTTTGGACATTCGTTTGTTGAATGCAGTGAAATATCGCCGTTATCGCTATCATTATCAGCGCAGTTGTCGTTATCATTCCATCATTCATAATTGCTTATGATCATAGCTATTAACATCAGTAACTGAACCTGAATTATGATGATTTTCAGAAGCATATGAGCAAACATAAACAGCAGGAAGCAGTTAAAGGCTTTTAAACATCTAACTATCGCAACCATTTAGGAATGTAAAGTATTAGAGAGAACTGGGCCATTTCAAAGTTCAAGGATAGTAGCTAGGGATAGGTGCCCATAGTCGAAAAAAAACTTAAATCCTGAATAATAAAAATCCGCTCGAAAATGCATTTCAAACCTGGTTATGCGCATAGTGATACCCATATATAATGAATGAGACAATGTGTTATAAGTAGAAGCATTACTCCTGTATACTGTGTTTATACAATTGATATCTTATTTGCTTAAAAAAAAAAAATGAAGTTAGAGGTATATTCTTCATAAGAATGAGATGATCATTGGTATTCTGAGGGGGCGGTTCTTCATATTACCCAAAAAACGTTAATGAGTACACAGATTGCTGAGTAAAAAACGTTCACCTTAAAGGAAAACATATGGTAAAATATGTTTGACGCCTTTTCCATAACTGAGATTCGAATTATGTAAGTGTAAGTTCTGTCGCTCGTTGAAACGTTTATTTCTTTCAGTTCTGTCTCTCATTGAAACGTTTGTTATTCCCTTCAGTTCTGTCGTCTTTGAAACGTTTGTTATTCTCTCAAGTTTTGTCGCTCATTGAAACGTTTATTCTCTTCTGTTATGTCGCTCATTGAAACGTTTGTTATTCCCTTCAGTTCTGTCGTCATTGAAACGTTTATTCCCATCAGTTCTGTCTCTCATTGAAACGTTTGTTATTCTCGTCAATTTTGTCGCTCATTGAAACGTTTATTCTCTTTATCTCTGTCGCTCATTGAAATGTTTGTTATTCCCTTAAGTTCTGTAGTCATTGAAACGTTTATTCCCATCAGTTCTGTCTCTCATTGAAACGTTTGTTTTTCCCTTCAGTTTTGTCACTAATTGAAACGTTTATTATTCTCTTCAGTTCTGTCACTAATTGAAACGTTTGTTATTCCATTCAGTTCTGCCACTAATTGAAACGTTTGTTTTTCCCTTCAGGTCTGTCACTAATTGAAACGTTTATTATTCCCTTCCGTTCTGTTGATCATCGAAACATTTGTCATTCCCTTCAGTTTTGTCGCTCATCGAAACGTTTGTTATTCCCTTCAGTTCTGTCTCTCATTGAAACGTTTGTTATTCCCATCAGTTCTGTTGCTCAATGAAACGTTTTTTTTCCTTCAGTATTATTCCCTTTAATTGAAACGATTGTTGATTCCCACATGAACCCACATCAACCATCCCATTTCAG